AGAGAATGAGCAGTCAGACCCCACCACTCAGTACTTACTTTGGAAGCTGCCCAGTCAATCCAGCCTTTAGCACACGGGTCAATGTTAATGAGCACAAGACCTTCTACCAGCTCTGGATGATTGAGCTGAGAGAGAGACAAAGACAACACTGTGAGACACCCCCCCACTCCCCACTTCTTCTAAAGCAGTGGACATGGTCAGCAGCTTGGTCTATGCCTCAGTGCCTCGTGTCTGAAAGGAAGACTGCAGGGAGGTGTATGGAGCATTTACAGACAATACCTCTTGAAAACCCTGACTAGCACCTGGAAACCAGTCTCTCAAAATGGGATGAAGTCATCTTCCCTTGAATGGGTGCTTGGGGAAGACAGGATTTTTGTTGCTTCAGCAGAGAGGAGCATGCAGCAGTTGTTCAACTCATAGGGGACTTGCTTATGGACAAGTACTTTGTACTTACTGCAAACCTGCTGAGGATGTAGGCTCCTGCTCCAACTCCGATACCAATGATGCTCTTCACACTGTGAATAGGACAGATAGACAACTAACAGTGTCAACTACCTACAAAAGAATACAAGCTGGGTGCTTCTCAACCTTCAGTGCCTTACTGATGCTGACAAGGGTAACATCAACTATTTTCAAATGTGCTTGTATAGTTAAATAAAATATGCCATGGACATGGTGATGCAAACACTTAATCATAGGAATTCGGAGGTAGAGGCAGGCAAATCTCTGAGTTTCAGGCTAACCAGAGCTACAAGAGAGACTGTCTCAAAAAAAATGTATATATGTGTGTATATACATGTGTGTATATATGGTGTTTTGAGACAGTATGTTCTTATACATATATACACATCTATATGTACACACATATATCTACAGGTATATATGTATACACACACACACACACACACACACACCCTTCAATCTTGGGAATCATTTTTACTACTACCTCAAAATTCATCAGCAAATCCATCCTGTCAAACTATCCAGAAATATTTTCATTATTAACTACTTTACATTTGTATATTTTCAACTTTTTAAAATAAATAAACTTTATTTTTTGAAGATGATTTTATTTGAATTCATGTATATCTGTGTGTGGCTATGTGCATGCTGAGTGTGAGGTATCTGTAGAGTTCAAGACAGCACGCTGATCCCCTGGGGCTGCAGCTATAGGCAGGTGTTAGTAGATGCTGGGAACCAAACCCAGCCTTGCTGCAGGAGCAGGAACCTCAACGCTGAGCCTGTCTCCGGCCCTTAAACTATACTTTAACCCATCTGTAACAGAATCAAGTACCAGGCTATCCTCAGCCTTTTCCTGAGTGACTATGGTTTCTCACCCCTGTCTCTGTGTTTGGCTTCTACTCCTTTACAAATGACTAGAACAGGAATAATCCTTTTTAAGTTAAATAGTTCTACTGAGTTACATTTTATATACTCACAGTAACCATTTTAAAGTCTAACTTGTGTTTCAGTCCAGGATTAAAATACTTCAATGTCTTCCCTTTTATGCCAACAAAGACACTGCCAACGTTTATCTGATCTTTCAGACTTAAGGAATCTGGTCTGTGTTTATCAGATTTTACAACATGCCTTTCTTCTACCTGATCTTACAATTAGTCTTTCCTTCTGCCCTGGCTCTCCATCTTAGCCTATATGGCACCTACCAGGAAAGACACTCCCTAGCTAGCCTCATTTATCTATCATAACAGACAGATAAATGCTCTTTTATCTATCATAATATCAGACTTCTTTATGCAGATGTTACTTAATGCCAAGGATCAATCTCAGAGAGCTGAACGTGCTCTCTTGCTGAGATACACAGCACAGGTACACTCTGATTACAGGTACACTCTGATTACAGCATTTTATTGTGATTGATTGTCAGCTACACCCATTTCCCAACTAAGCATGATGAACACAGTGACTCTTCCATTTTGCACATCACTGTATTCAGGGACAATAAAGAAAACAGACAAAACAATAAGGTGGCAGCGCTGGGCACAGATCTCAGTGCAAGCGTATCCATTTACCTGAATGAAAGCCTGGCTTTCATTTGTAGCAATGAGGGGAAGACTACAAAATCTACTCACCTTAAGTGTGTAAGAACGGGAGGCAGCATCTCAGCTAGCTCATCCATGGTAGGGTACTGATACCTGAAACCCAGAAGAGCCACTCCTGAATTAGAAAGTACCCACAGTTCCCAGACACTAGGAGACCCTGACCAGTCCAGGAGTCTTAGAGAAACACAAGATTTATTTTATTTTATTTCTTTTACCAAAGGCTCAAGGATGTGATGTGGTACCTAGAAACAAGCATGGCATGCTCCGTGATCCTCCATGACTGCCGTGTGAGGAAGAAATAAAAGGGGACACACTCCTTCTACCAGAGGAAGCTACAGGAAAAGAAATGGTTACAGGGCCCACTATGTGCTATTTCCAAACCCTTAACATTCACTTCCAGGCTCAGGAATGTCCAGCAGCCTGCCAGTCATATTTAGGTAGTTAACTGTAACAGGAAACAATGCTTTCCTGGGACTATGCATCATTGTAAGACTCAGGATCCCCAGAATAAATGCTCATTTATTTCTCAACATGTTTGTTTATGAACTGATTCTAAAATGGCCAGGCAAGCCCAGGGCTGACTCAGAGGTGGGAGAGTAAGGACAAAGTCACAGATGATAAAATCAGA